GTCTTCACGATCACTGCGATAGCTGTTTGACAATTTTAACGTTCCGCTTTGCAAACTGAATTTTACGGGCCGTACAATGGTTTTGCTGCCGGCAGAAAAGTATGTGGCAACCGCTGGGGTATCTTACGGGTTTGTGGGGATGAGTAGGGCAGGCACCCAATAAAAAGTGAAGTCTGGAGGAACTAGGCCAGCGGCTTGGCCATTTCAGAAGCTAGCTCCTTCAAAAGCATGGCCGGGATTGCATCGGGACCTCGGCGGGTCGACTCTTTCAAGGTTAATATATTTTTCGGTGAGGAAGACTGTTGCAATAGTAGGCGTCACCTCGTCTTCATAATTGGGTGGGGGAATTCGGATTAGGTTGTCACCACGGACAGGAAGAACTGAGATTTTCAGTCTTATCCTTGTTCTCTGAAAGTTCCGCACTCTTTACAGTTCGCAATAAAGGGTTAGGATCCCTGTTTCACATGTTCTGCCTGATATATCTGGAAGGGATTGTGGAGTTAACCATGACACAGTTAAATAGATCACTTGCGAAGACCCGTCGATTTCTCGCGATGGGACTTTCGACTGCGTTTCTCTGAAATTGGAATTGTTGAGGGATTTCAGCGTCCTACCAATAAGGGGTATATTTTAAAGCCCTCTTTTTGTTAATTTACTTTTTTTAAGGATGGAATCAACTAGGGAAGTTTGATTGTTACTCTTCTTCGCATGACTGGGCACTAGCTGTCTGATTTAGTCCCAAGCCTGGTCGACATCGTCGGAGAGTATGGATGACTAGTCAGAGATGAAGCGGCTCACCAGGCAGAGATAATAACACGTATCCCCAAGTGAGAAATGCGTCGCCACACTGGCCTAATAGAGAGTAAGCAACTCACAAAGCCGATATTGTCAGGCGACTTGATGAGCATAGGGTCGAGGAAGTTTACCCGCTGGTTCTCGAAAACACTCGTTGGAAACATGACATGTCAGGTAAAAAGCACAATTCCAGTCGTATGCAAAAGCTGCTGGTCGAATGCTGTTCCAGAGCATCCAGCAAAGACGGAGTTTCCGTCGATGCACTTAAGTCCCAGACGATGAGGGTCTTCAGTCGCAAGACAAATATCTTGAGCTTATCCAGTAGTTGGACATCAGCTTCGGGATCGTTTTCGGAGAGTTGCTATGATATCGGGACTGTGCGATTTCGTTGCCCTTACAGTGCACCATATTGCTTCCGTAAAAGTCAGCTTAGAAGTTTTCTGAAAAATATAGGTCATTACATGCTAATTTTGATAAACCTCCAACCATTCGGAATGAAACCAAGTTGGGTATCGAGTTGGACTCGCACACACAGATTATACGTTTACACGGTGACGTAGTCCCCGCTCTGCTATAGCTACCAACAACCAACTGTTAAATTCAACGTACCATCCTATCCCGTTCAACGTGGGTCCTGTGGCGGAGAATGGAGTTCGGAGGAAATGCCGATAAA